GGATCCATATCTAGGAAGTGCCTCATCATCACTATCACTCAAAAGTTGAAAACTGGGCATCGAAGGATCGCGAGATAACATCGGATCAGGGCAAAGAGAAGAAGATCTGAAGTTCAGGACCTTTAGATCTATTTTTCGAGAGAGAAGATTAGATTTAGATATAGAGAAGAGGAAGAGAGGAACTTAGATCTGGAGAGGAGGAAGAGTAAAACGCAGATCTAGAGAGAGACGAAGAAGGTGTGGGAATCGGTGAAGTGATTCGTGGTGGCTGGTCAGGTATTGAATGGGTAGGGTTTGGGTGGAGGGGCAAATAAGTCTTTTTCAAGGAAATGGGAAGAGTTTTAAGGGACGGATAAAAAAAGAAAGAGGAAGTGTTTTACGGGACGGAGGGAGTATTAAATAAGGTAAGAACTAGTGAAATCGATTAAACGCTAACTAATGAGTATATGAGTATGAAGAGTTAACTAATAAGGATGTGATGATTAGGTCTTAAACCTTAAATTAGGTCCATTCCTCAAAGGTGGGCTCTTAAACCTTAAATTAGGTCAACATGTTGGGTAACCTAAAGTTTAAAACAAAACTTATTCTATAATTTTATACTCTTCGTTCTAAAACTATGTCTCTATTTATCTTTTTAAGGTCAAAATTAAAAAAAAATTAAACACAAAACATTAAAAAATACTCAGTATTGAATAATACTACAAATTTAATATAATTTGATTCATCTTGAAATGATACTTTGAAATATCAAATTTTTAGTACTCCCTTCATTCTAATTTATAATGTCTGATTCGATTTATGATATTTAACTAAAATTATATTTAATATAATTTAATTGAAGATTGTGCTGGAATTCAAAACTACGGAGTACATAGTAAAAATTACATATTTAAAAATAACAGAATATATGAATAGTTTTTCCAATTAAGAGGTGACATTATAATGTTAATTTATCAAATAAATAAAAAAATTGTTAAGAGAAATACACAAAGTTTGATTATGTAAATACTGAATATATACTATAATTTGAGACACAAGAAGTGAAAAAAATTAATGTATAAATATAAATATTAATAACATTTAAAGTGTTGCACTCGATATCGTGAAAAATCAAATAAAAACACAACAACTCAATTTAGATCCAACGAAAAAATCAAATGAGAAAATATTTGGAAATGAAAGAGAGTATCATAAAAAGGTATTCTTTATAGTATCTCGGCAAATCATGCGTAAAGTATCAATTATTTAGAGACACCCTAGCATTTTAAATGTAAAGTTTGGGTTTAATTACTCTAGCATTTTAGCCTTTAATAAACTAAATGGTTTTCTCCCGCCAAAAAGGGTATCATCTGCCGCCATTTTGCTGATCTCCGTTAGCACGATCCTCCATAGACCACAGTACGTTAGACTCGTAGAAAGATTGAATCTTGGGCAAGGAAATGGCCTCTTCATGCGGAAAAACTATAATGGATCTTTTCAAGCAACCGGCAGCGAAGCGCCTCAAACGGGTCTCCTCGCCGCCTCAGTCTCCTGCCTCCGCGGCCGTCAGCAGCTTCTCCTCCGCAGCATCGCGGTCTCCGGACGACGGCCAAGGCGAAGAGAACGGCGTCGTTTCTCAAACCGGATCACTCACGCCTGAGCAGATTTTGAAAATCGAGTTCAACAAATCCCTAGCCAAAGCTAAACTCAATCTCAATCGCTGTGCCGAGAAAGTCACGAATTCCATTTCTAAAGGTCAGCCTACTCAATGTCTCAATCTCAAGCTCTGTATAATTGGAATTCCAAAATCAACACGAAGCTTAACACTATGTTTGGGTTAAGGAATTTGGAATGAAAAGAAAAAAAGGCTAAAATCCACCATTAGTCCTTCAACTTTATAAAATGTGCACGATTGGTCCTTCAAGTTTCAAAAGTCCATAAATAGTCCTTCAACTTTATTAGTTTTGCACCATTGGTCCTTCAAGTTTCAAAAGTTCATAAGTAGTCCTTCGGGTACACGCCAGCCCTCCATATGAAGTCCTTTTCACAGCAAATATTAAAACTTAAACGAAATACTAGTTTCATATAATACGAGTAAATTCCACCACGTACGACTACTCCGTATTATATGGAGCTAGTATTCCATTTAACTTTTAACATTTACTGTCAAAAGGACCTCATCTGGAGGGCTGACGTGTACTTGAAGGACTATTTATGCACTTTTAAAACTTGAAGGACCAATCGTGCATAACTCATAAAGTTGAAGGACTATTTATGAATTTTTAAAACTTGAAGGACCAATCGTGCACAATTGATAAAGTTGAAGGACCAATGGTGGAGTTTAGCCAGAAAAAAATAATAATTTTTCCCCAGTTTCCTTATCGAGGAATTTGGTTTTTAACACTATGTTTGGGTCAAGGAATTTGGAATGAAAAGAAAAAAATAATAATTTTTCCTCAGTTTCCTCATCGAGAAATTTTGTTTTTCCTCCTCTTAGTACATTTTGATTTCTTATTTTCTTTTCCTTCCATTTTTTTTCTTTTCCTCCCTAACCAAACAAGAAAAATATTTTCCTTCTCATTTTCTTTTCATTTCCCTCTCAAATTCCTTGAATCAAACATGGTGTTAAAATTAAAATATAACTTTTGTGTTGTGAAATAAAACTAATTCATCTAGAAGCATAGTTTAGGAGAGTAAATGGTGCTTAGCAGTTCGTGCAAATGGTGCAATGGTCTTTGATGAAACTAGTCTTAATTTTTACAGATCACTTCTGGTTAAATATCCATACTTGAAAACAAGAATTCAAATGTGAGGTTTTGGAATTTATGAAAACCCTTAATTTGCATACTTGATTCCTATGCAAGGAGAGTGATTTTTTCTATAAAAATTCTGACGATGTTTTAATCTCAAGGATTAATTTTCTTTTTTCTTTTCCTTGTAGCACTAGTCGAAAAGAAACTTGAACATATATATTCGTAGAGAACTCCCTTGTGGTTCAATTTGAAAAACACTTCAATTGTATGCATTCATTGTTGTATTCTTTTATGTACTCTACTACCACCTTGATGTAAATCCATCAAATTAGCTGAAATTGGAAGAGGGAAATTTGTTGGGAAAAAAAATCCTTGAAATTTAGTTGCTACTTTCTAGTTTAACTCGCGGGGCACTTGAATCAAATATTTTTCCTTTGACTTCCAAGATTGCCCTAGTGTTATGTGATTGAGAATAATTAATGGCGATGGGCGGAGATATTAAATGAAGGTAGTAAAGCAACACTATTACTTTTACCAAATTAAAATGAGGAAAGATCACTTAATTTAGGTACATATCTAAAGGTAAAACCATAAAATTTATACTTTAGTCAGGGATTATTATTATTATTTGGGGGGGGGGGGATAGTATTTGATTCTATGATGGATTTTGAGGGAGTAAATGTGTGATAGGTGAGGGGATGCAGCACGTGAAGTTGAAGGAGTTGTTGGTGGAGGAGTCATGGTTGCAAGCATTGCCAGGGGAATTTGAGAAGCCATATGCCAAGAACTTGTGTAAATTTGTGGAAAGTGAAATTTGCAGTGCTGGTGTTCCGATTTATCCTCCACAGCATTTGCTTTTCAATGCACTTAATACCACTTCTATTGACAAGGTTAAGGCTGTTATCATCGGACAGGTATAATTCCATGTATAGTCGAGTAGAAATGGTTAAAGTCTCACTATGGACAAAAATGGAATTAGCTCTCAGTCTTGTTTTCAGCCTTTCCCATTGGATGTGTTTTTATAGTTGTATGCTAAATTGATTGATTGTAAACTTGTCTCTACAATTTCTGGATGGGAAACTGCAATGTCAGGATCCATATCATGGACCTGGTCAAGCAATGGGTTTGTCTTTCTCTGTGCCAGAGGGTGTAAAAGTTCCTTCAAGCCTGGTCAATATTTATAAGGAACTCAAACAAGACTTGGGTTGTTCAATTCCTTCTCATGGAAATTTGGAAAAATGGGCAATACAGGTGACCCTACTCAAATTTATAGGCACTTTTTAACCTTAGTTTTGGCTGTTTGTTCGGCCATGCCATGACCGGTCTTATTTCCTTAGCAATTTTAGATAGAATCAATTAATCTTACAGTATCCATCATTAAATTCGTGAACTGGCTTATTTTCAGGGTGTTCTGCTTCTCAATGCTGTGCTTACTGGTAACATTTTCTTTTCTTTAAATATTGTGCTCTCTTTATTTCAATGCTGCGTATCATTTATTTTTTTTCAAAACTTTGTTTATCAAATCATTCGTCCACTTTGTCAAGGTTCGTCATCTGGTTGTCTATCACTTTTGATGTTCTTCTCGGTTCTCAATTCGACCTTTTTATGACATCATCAGTTAGGCATCATCAAGCAAACTCTCATGCAAACAAAGGTTGGGAGCAATTTACTGATGATGTCATAAGGGCAATTTCTCAAAAGAAAAAAGGAGTAGTCTTCCTTCTTTGGGGAAATTATGCTCAAGCAAAAGGCAGGTATATAATCCGGCAAGCCTCATTTGAATGAAGTTATATTTGTAAAAGCAAAATGCATCTCAGTAAAGGGAAATATGGGATGATGACAAGCTAATGGGCTAGGTATCACTTGAAGTTGGTAGTGGTACTTGAAATGCCTTCGTCTTAGCATGAAAAAATGAATAAAAGACTAAATCTTGAAATTGCCTTAGCTGGTAAAGTCTTGCATGCTAAGTTGCGGCTTTGGATGAAACTTACATGATTGAAACATTTGCGTTGATATAAACTAAAGAAAGTTCAAAGTTCTTATTTTGAAATGATGCCAAAGACTTGTTTTCTTCTTGTTAAACTTCCTAAATGATACAAATTTTGAAACCAAGAACTAGTCCATATTATTCTTAATTTAAGAGATTTTCTTTTTGCAGGCTAATTGACGAAACAAAGCATCATGTGCTGAAATCGGCACATCCTTCTGGTTTGTCTGCAAACAGAGGCTTCTTTGGATGCAGGTGTGTCAACTAATTGCTTCTGCTTTTTAAAGTTGCCTATTGTTGCCCTATGCTGGATACAATATGAAGTCTACTATTGACTTTACAATTATTATCAATATTATTATTTTTATTATTGTTACTACCATTATTATTATTATTATTACAATTTGACCAATCATATCTATATTTAAACATGAATCTATCTTGTATAAATATGATATTTTAAAACTACATTTCAAATTGAATTTATTATACACTAATTTCTTTCATGACTCAATCTAATGTTTCTAATATTTGTAGCCATTGTTTATAAAATTTGACCAAGAAAAGATATATGACGGAGGGAGTAGTCAATTATATATCTGAAGCTATAACATTGTCAATGATGACTCTTTTTAGCTTCATTGGTAGTGAGAACTATTCTTGTTAACATAATATGGAGTACTAAAATTATGTTTTATCCTTGGCACAAGAAAAGAAAGAAAGAAAGAAAAAGAAAAGTCTTTTTCGAAAAGTCGTTGTTCACATGTTCAATGTCACCACTTCAGTGGTTTTGACACTCTAGTCAGGAATGTCAAAATTTGATATCTTCACTAATGTCATCTAACATAATTTTTCTTGAATGTTTATTCTATACATATAGGCATTTTTCAAAGACAAACAAGCTTATGGAGGAAATGGGGAAACCTCCTATAGATTGGCAACTATAAGTCTATAATGTAGAATGTCATGCCATTTTTTGGAAAGCTGAACAAGGGGCAAGATCGGAGTCAGCTCTTATAAAATACTCGGGTATGTCCATTTTACTTTAGTCGCCCATGGGTGTCAGAATATGACACTCGTGTCATTTGAGAGTCATACAGCGTTCCATTCAACCCTAAATGTATTCCTACCCCTAACTCTTTTACAAAACTTGTTTACTTATTGGCAGGGAGGCCAGTTTTTTAGATGGGAGATCTTTCTGGAAATGGGATTATGGGTAGGGGCTGTATTGTCTTTCTTTGGACTCTTCTATGTGAAGGTAAGTAGTTAAGTGCACTCTTTTAAGGTGGCCAGTCACCAGTGTATCTTATGGATGTGTATTTGTGGTGGCACATGAATGCCATTTCTTACCATCAAGTAAATTTATGGGAATTGTTGGAATGTTAAAAGAATTTCATCTACCCCTTCATTCCAAAATAAATTTTATTCTTTCCCTTTTTATCTATTCCAACATAAATTTTACTATTCACCTTTTTTTGTCGTATCCTTGTTGATACGAATAGCTCACGGTTTTTTTCACCTCTTAACAAAATCAGAGCATACAATTTTACTTTTTGATTGTTTTTGCGGATTTTGCAAAGTTAAATCATGAAATTTTTTTTCAGGATGGAAAATGATTTATTACCAAACGCATCTTTATTTTCCAAGTAAATTCATTTTCTTCATTATGAAATATTGCAATATTACAAATGGAAATATATAATAAATAGATTCATGAAGTTCCTTAATCTTGCAACAATTTTTATACAATTATTCTTACAACATTAGTTTCTTTCAAATGAAAGTTTTTTTTTTTTTTTGCAAAACTCACAGTTGGATTGAAAGTTACTAATGCGATCATCATCCTAAAATCTAACAAAAATCGGTATGTTGGAAAATGGCCCACAATTGCAAACAACTTTGGATTTTTATAAAATTTTAAGGTGAGAATCAATGTGTTGGTAAATTTCCATCACATCTTAGGTTTCGTGAAAACATATCCCAATCGAAAAAAATCGTCCAACATTAAATCAAAACACAACATTTATCCCTATAAGAGGAATGCCATGTTTTAAAAACCACATCGAAATAATTTTTTTATAGGACATTGTTGGAAGACACTTGAAAGACTTGGAAATCTGGGAAAGGGATGTAGGAAATTGTTGACACTTCACTAATCACTACAAAAGTAACAAAACCTGAAAACCATGTCAATTCTTTACCAATAGGCAGGGAGTATAGTAAAATACATACAAGGACATGTTTGTGTTGCAGAAAATAGGGGTTAGAACTTAGGAATGAATAAAATGATCAGCCAAACAAGCCTTTGACATAGACCATGCCCTTTTCACTGAAATTAAGCTCCTTCCTCAATTGCTCAACCACTACATCATCTCCTTGAAGAACAACCTCTGACACTGTTCCATTGCCGTCTACCATCATTCTCACCTTGACCTGCTCTCTTCTGGTCGCCCCAGTCCAGTAGTACACACCCCTGTTCGTTTCCACCCACAAAATTAGTTGAATTACTTTTGAATATCATATTTCAAAACAGTGGCGGAGCCATGATCCAACACGAGTGGGGTTTGGATGGAAATAGTTTGAGTTCTGATAGACATTTTGTCGATCACCTGGTGTGCTATGACATGAATGGACTCCTACTTTGATAAAGTCAATCACAAAGAAAGAAAGAAAGAAAGAGAGGACGAAATTCAATCGGCCGAATCAATTGGTCTTCTTGAACTCGCCCTTCATCACCAATTGGACCCTTTTTAATTCATTTTGGCTTCACTGTTTGTGTGTGTATATACATATATCATCACATACTACTCCATGATGGATACTTTGAGCCTGATTTCGTGTGTTATATTATGACACTACGTTCTACACGGTGCTCATTTGGCCCAGAAGTGAATCCCACGCCCCATGACCTCTCACGTGTTCTGAATCACCAAAATGCTATGGTAACATTTTGACGATTTAGCTAGGGGTTAGGGGTAGAAACTAGAAACCATTTCAGGAGCCAAAGAAACCCTGTATGACCTTCAAATGGCATGGGGTCATGTAATGATATCTAAGGTGGGTGTCACACACACTATAGCATTTCAACAATCTAGTGGTGTTAGTCACGGTTAGGGGTGTAAGACCCATGAAATACAGTAAGACTCTCAAATGACCCCGGTGTCGTCTTATAACATTCAACAAGGCGAGTGTCAAAAGATCATTCGTTGGCTTTGAAATTGTCACACTCCCAAAACACTAATGCATCTTACCAAAAACACACATGTGAATGCTTCTTTTTTTTTGAGTGACAATATCATGTCCCATTACTTAGTCCTTGCAAAGGATATTTTGGGCACGTGATGGATGAATGGGGAAGGAAGTTGGGAGGAGGAGTGACTTACGCGAGCGGGCTAAGTGCAACAAGCCAAAACCAACGGTTTCCTACATCTGGAAGAGCGATGGTTAGAACCAGTGAAACGCTGGCTAAGCTCACACAAGTGCAGAACGACAACAGCGCCGCTTGCCCCCGGCTTGGGCTCATCATTCCTTCAAACCTTCCATTCACACCAAATTGCAAATTAATCAATAAATAAATTGAACAAAAGAAATGAGGTTCCAGGTTATAGTAAACCTTTTAGAGCAGGGTTAAAGGTTGCCTAGCGAAAAAAAATTCAATAGTTTTGAATGAAAAGGACTAGTACTTAACTTTTCTCTGGTAGCTCCATTTTTAAAATATCTTCTTATTTATAAATTATAAGCATAAAAACCCCAACTTGGATGGGGTTGGGCTTTGATTTGAATAAAATGCTAAGGGGTGGGACTTCCCAATTCCCATCTGCTCATGATATTATCATTTTTAGTGTGGCTTTTTCAAAACGCTAAATTTAATGTTGCTGATGCCAAAAGAGTCATAGTCTTCAATTATACTCCGTAAGATATTAATAAATGATTGTGAATTTATGAAAATTGTTCCATAAATAGTCATTGAGGCCAAATATGAATGGGAGAAAGACCAAACTAGGACTAAAACATTGAAAATATACCAAAATAGGACTTCCATGTTTTTATTCCCGAAATAGGACTTACATTACCAAACATGGTCATATATATTACCAAAAAGTATAGTAATTTGCACATGTACACTGCCACATTACCACAGTGCAAAGTCCTATTCCAGGAATAAAAAAATGAAAGTCCTATTTTGGTACTTTTCTCTATATTTTAGTCCTATTTAGGATGATTTTATAAATATGAATCACCATTTTGACTTTAAAGTTAACTAAACTTAGCACCCGCAATTGACGTGATTGGAGGGATGGGTTGTGGTCGGGACTGGGAGGGGTTAGGGGTGGAAATAATCAATTTTGCGAACGGAGCACCGTAGGTGCCCCAATTTGTTTAGTTGCTTCCGAAGCCACTGAAAATCAGTGGCTATAGAACCCCCAAATATGAATGTATGACAAAATATTTTTTTACAAATATGAATAAAAATTATTTATGGAATTTATTCTTTTTCTTTATTTTCTGATTTTGTGATGTGAAAATCTAAGGATAAGAAAGGTAAAGTGGACAAATAGGGGTTGGGTGATGAGTACCATACGTTATCGTCTCCCCTCTGTCCAACACCACAAAATTGTTGCGAGCGAAGAACGCCTGAATCTCTCCCGCCACCCTCCTCGCCGCCTTCTTCTCCGCCTCGTCCGCCGCCGTCACGAACGTCTTCCTCGCAATCTGCATTTCTCACCAAATCGATCAGCAAATCCGTAACCTAATTTCAAAATTCCAGTTCCCAAAATAAGAGCGAGCCGAGACAGACCTTGGATTTAACCGATCGTTTAATTAGAGACCAGAGACCGGGAACGGAGATGACGAAGAGGCCCAGCGAGGTGTAGTAGCTAGCTAGTGAGTATCCGCCGCCGTCCGTGGCGGCGGCGAGCAGGAGGAGAGAGTTCTGGAGCCGGAAGTGGTCCGCGATTTGATGAGGGGCGGCGGCGGAGAGGTGCTGGAGGGCTTCGTAGTCGATGGAATTGAAGGGAGATGCCCCGACAAGTGTGAGGCTCTTGTTGGTTCTCGTTCCGGCGGTTGCCGGAGGGCCCAGCCGCCATGGACGGTGGGTACCAGGGGGGCTAAATAAAGGAGAGAGTAATAGTTTTGTTGCCATTGGTAACTTGGAAGGCAAACTGGCTGCTTTGATTTTACGTACTCAACAACATTACGTCCTCTTTTAGTCTTTGAATGAATTAAATCTCTCATTTTCATAAATTAGTACTAGTATTTATTCCTCTCTCCCACAAAATTTTTCTATTTTTTACTTTAAAGGATTTTAAAGAAAGTATATTTTGGTATTAATTTTCCTAAAAATATTTTTAAATATAATAGGTAAAAGTCAGATATGATGGAAAAATGAATAATGAAAAAAAAGTATGATGTGATATGTAGGTTAAGAAAATAATTTAGGTAAAAAGACTTTTTGATAGAAATGATTTTTTTTGGAACAAATGAAAAAACCAAAGAGAAAGGTTTTACGAAACGAAAAAAATAATAAATAAAAAAATACATTATCTCAATCTCAAAGAGAGTAAGACATAACATGCATTGTTAGTGCAAATTAAATTTCACTTGTTAAAATAGAAATTTTATACATACTCGTATAGTCGTATTTTATTCTTAAACTAGAAGTTTACACTAAACTATAATACTGGGACAGTGTATAATGGACATCACACTATATTTTTGGTATTATATATATGGTCTATTTCCTATTTAAGAGATTAAAACCGTAGAGTTACTATTTTGATATTTTTCCATTTTTACTGCTAAGTTAGTCTTTCTTTCATATTGTTACTTTTTTATAAAACTTTTAATGTAACTCATCAAATTCTCTCAATGTGTAAGGCTAAATATAATCATGTGTGATCTTGTTTGATTTGTCTAAACATATGAATTATTAATATATAATTTCTATAATTTTTTAATATACAAATTACAAGATAAAATGGATTAAAGAAGTGTATTGGATGATGTGTAAAAATGAAAGTAGATAAATACTCTGGAACGGAGGGAGTACGTTGTTTATAAATTAACCACAGAGAAAAAATGTATCATTAGTTGACTTATAAATCAGAACAATTTATATGTAATTTTGACCAACTTATAAACATATAGAAACACTCTATCACTTCATAAGCGAGCCCAATATTTTAATTATGAGAATATTTCATTCCTGCACATCAAATTACTGTAAAAATTTATATTTACTCTGTCTAATGCTTTCGTTAAGATTGAACGGAGTAGTTTATTACTGGTGCACACATAAATCTTGTCATAATACAAAAAATAAAGATTGTGATGCATCTAATATTTTCCATCTGCGGCACGGGAAATTTAAAATAATGTGACTACATTTTAAAATACACCCTCCAAATTTATTCTTTGAATTTGGAGGAACATGCAACATTTATATAGTTTAAAATATTTTTATTTATAAATTGATATAAAAATAAAAACTACAAATCACATCTTTTAAAACTACATCAAATTTATTTAAAAATAAAAAGATACAATAAGAATATTTTATTGATATAATAATCAATAAAAACGTGATATAAATATATAATTAAACATAAGTGACCGAAAAACTACAATAATTACTGAACAGATTAATTTGGAACAGATAGAGCATTGTTTTGCACATTATTGTCTCTTTTCACGACACTCTCTTGTTGTTTCATCTCGTCTACCTGGTTCGTCTTTGTTCTACTCGGCATATGCAAAGGGAAATCTGATTGTATGTACTTTGTGGGATTCGAGTTTGAGCTCTCTCATCCTAATCCACCTTAAGAGAATTAGCAATCACAAGGTAAAAATATAACTCCACACGGTGACATGTACTCGGGTAATACAATTTCACTTATTCCAGAATTTATTTCCAATTTCTATTAAAAATCACATCATTTCTATGACAAAGTTACTTTTACCATACATATCACATCAAATTTTTTCACAAATAACCTGGCAATCGCACCATACCTTTACTCATGACATCAAGATTATTTTTAGAAAAACCAATACAAAATTATTCAATACTATACTCCGCAAAATAACATAATTATGTAAATTCTTACTCCGTATTTTGTAAACCTTCTCAATATAATTTTTAAATATATTACTATTAAATTTAAGTTATAAATTCTACATTTATAAAAAAAATAAAATGAATTAAGAACAGTTGTAGTAGCCAAAATGAAATGAAAATGAAATGAGATTAGGGAATATTTAGATATATGGATAGCCATAAAAACAGCCAAAAATTTTGCCCCACCCCATTAATCTAGCAGGATTATCCATGCATGCATGTAAGATGTGTGCCTATATATATAATCCCCCCTTCTCGAACACTTTCATTTTTCATCCTGCCTGGATCCTTGATTTATAAAAAAAATTAACATTATTAATTGGAAAGGAACATTAATTAATTAGTACTATTTTTACTATTTTCTTTCATTTTATTATTGATAATCCTACTATCAATAATATTATTTAACTCATTTTTATGATTATGGCTACTAAACCTTCCATTTTCTTTTCCATGATAATATTATCATTATTATCATCCCCCGCGGTATACATATCCGCCGCCTCTTCTTTGCGCCCAAACGTCGCACTCCTCCGTCGAGCCTGCGCCACCACCGCCTCCCCCGACTTCTGCTTCAACTACCTCTCCAAAACCCCCTCCGTCGCCTCCGCGTCGCGGCGGTCCCTGCCGGCGCTCGCCGCGGCGATCACCGACACGGGGCTCACCTACGCGAAGCTGATGAGGGAGTACGCGTCCAACAAGGCGGCGGCGCCGGAGACGCGCGCCGCCGCCGCCGGCGTACGCCGAGTGCGCGCGGCTCCTGGGTGACACCGCGACGCAGCTCGAGATCGCCGCCCAGATGATCGAGCAGATTGCGTCGGCCGCCACCGCGGTGGACGACGCGAGCTACTCGCTCATGAGGTCCGGCGACGGCGTGGCGGCGTGCAAGCAAAAGCTGGCCGCCGTCAAGGTGGAGGACCGGTACGTGAAGGTATCGTCGAAGCATGTGGAGATTTACAGCGTCGCCCCCGACAACATTTTGACGGACTTGAAGCGTAACGGGAAGAAGGTGGTCAACTAATTATGGAGATGGATGGCGGAGGCCGCGGCGGAACACGGTGGTTAATTCGATGATATAAGTATATATCGATCAAGAGATTGAAAAAACATCTCTTAGTCACTCCGTATGTAAAACTGAGTAATCAAATATTCTGTTTCTCTATAAATTTTCTTCTAATTATGCATTGGGATATTGAGTATAAAATTTCATGAATGCTCTTCTTATTTACATGTGATTTTCTATAAAATGTGGATGAGATGATTAAATTATTTTCACATTGAATTTCATTAATGCTTCTTATTTACAGGGTGATTTTTCATAAACTACTTCAATTTTTGAAAATTACTCCCTCCGTCCATGTAAGATCTTTCATTTACGCGTTACGAAGCTTTACCAACTTTATTTTCAATTCAATTTAATTGATTATAGGAGTAAAATTTTGAAATAAAATTTATATAGTAATAAATTACATGAAAAGTTCTACAAAACTAGAGGTGACAAGACTATATTATTTTATGAAATGACTAATAAAAATGAGCAAACCAAGTGAGTAAAGTTTGACCCTGTGAATAGTGTCTGGGAAGATCTATGGTGGATAGAGGGAGTATTTCATAATCAATCTTTTAGTGCTTCAAGCATGTAAGATATCAAAAATTATTGAGATCAGAAAAATGAGAAAACAAATACAAGAAGAATATATATGTGAGATAAAAATTATATTCACTTTATCCAAAAAATACTTCTTATTTCTTTTTTGGTACGCCCCCAAAAAAGCATCTTCTTTTCTTTTACGGAAAATTTTGATCGAGTGGCTCATAATCTCACTCTCTCTTCTACATTACTCTCCGTAAGCTTTGCGTCAAATCAATCTGTAAATATTTCTAAGATAGAAGAAATATTTCTGTTATTTCAAAACAATATACTAAAAACTCTCTTAAATAACTAAATACTCGGTATCAATTACATAGGTGGCCCGGAGGATGTGCAAAGTGGCCAATGGCACAGCCGCACAGGGCCCCTAAAATTTTAGGGTCTCATATTTTTAAGTTTGTTAATAATTTTAAAGCAAAAGTATTCTAAAACATAAAATAGGGTCCAAAATATAAATTTTGGACCAGGTCAAATTTATTTTTTCATTTTTCGGGGCTGATCCTGGTCAATTATTTCCTACACTAAGATGACGTTTGGGATTGCATTTAAAAACTGTTTATAAGCTTTTACTTTACTAAAATAATGTTTGTCGTGTTTGTCAATCTGTTTCTGCTTATAGATTATAACTTCTACAATCTAAAATAGGCTTGAGAATTGCTTGCAAGCAAATTTAAAAATATCCACTTTCTATTCCGACTTAAAACTTTCGCTTTTTCAACAATATACCGTACTCCCAAATACCTTCTAAATATTCTCTTCTCTCTCTCTTTCTCCCCTCCCCGTGTCTTTAATGCATAACACAACGTCACAACACATGCACATGTTTTGGACCGAAGAAAAAGAAGCCTTTGTCAAAAGTTGGCCAACTACCCTACCATCTTTACTCTTTTATTTTCCTTTTGTTTTGATTTCTTATTTTAATCAAATTCCGAAGCCAAAAAGATTAAAATACGGAGTATGAGTTAACATTTAAAAAATATATATATATATATATATATTAAAATATAAGTTTATGTCTTTATTTTCAAAATAGTATGCATTTAGAGTACGTGTCAATCATGATTATATATATTACAAAAGAAATAGCATGAAATATCCATATATAATGTCAAATTACCACAGTACAAATTTTTATTTTTGTAAAACATTAAAACTTCTAATTCGATATTTTAACTATGTTTTACTTCGATAATTTTTTCATTCAAATACACTATACATTGATAGAAAAAGTCTGTAGGCGTTGCGCAGTTGGCAATGACATGAAACGTTAAGGGGGTAAGACCCGAGTTTGATTCCATGCAACTACTAGATATTATTTCATCTCACTAGAATTTATGATTACCATAATAAAATAAGATCCAATATTTTCGGCAAATTATATTGTGTATCCGGTTGTACCCAATTTTGGGTACAACCAAGAAATTATTTATGATATGAATTTCATTTTACATGAGAATGAACACTAAGTTATTTGAGAATGAGTACCGCGCTAATTATATTTGTGCAAAAATGAGTACTACTCTATTTCAGAATGAGTACTACTAAATGTATATCATATTCTACCATATGCCTTCTCAATATTTTCGGGTTAGTCCGGTGAGTCCGGATAACGTGAATTTTGAGGTCGGACGGTATGGGTTTTGGGTACCAAAGCCCGAAGCGATTGAATTTCGTCCAATCAACCGAACCAAACCGCCTCCTTCCACGCACCTCTGTTCTTCAAGCTCCCACCACGTTCCTCGCCATCTTCACTGTAAGTATTGACGAATCATTAAAAATAAGCCAAAATCTTGTTTCCGGCGTCTGATTTTCATTTCAAACATTTGAATTCGTATACCATCCATCAATTCAACCGAAAGCTCAATCTTGTGGTTATAATAGGATTATAATTTTTTTTATTTTTTTAAATCTCTGTTTCTAACTTTAGTGAATTAGTGATTTAAGATTGTTTAAACTTTTAGAATCTTGTAATAATGAATTTCGTACCACGCGAGGGCATTGAACTGCTTTTAATTTTGACATAGGGTAGAATTTTGAACTAAAATTACTGAGATTCTATGGACAATTTGTGGAACTCCATTCCGTGATGGTGTAGACTGTAGTGTTGGCCACTAATGGTTAGGGGAGTATGTTTATTTATCCATACATGCCCGATGTGTTAATGTGTTCAACATTTGAATATTGAAGAAAGAATAATGAGCTAATAAGATCGTGAGCTGAACTAACCAGTCGATTGAATTCAATATTTTAGTGTGGTTTGACACAAGTGTTTTATAGTCCGGTTGAGTGACCATACCATGACATTATTCGAATTTGCTTCAACTCACGCTTTGTCTATTTAATGAGCAAGGAAATAGGTGTTTGTGTGTGTGAATTCGAAGGCATTCTCTTATATTTTCTTTATGATGTCCAATCCCTCTGAATGCATGGCATCTAAATCAATATAACCCGGGAAGCTTGAATGTATCATATATTTAAAAGGACCAACGAACACCTAACACTTTCAGAACTATGTATCCAGAAATGACAACCATCATTGGGAACTTTCCATGTATTTGCTCAAGAAACGTTTCTAAGCATCTTTGGAAGGAAACAAGTTTCTCAACTTCATGTTTTAGTCATTTCAATCTTGTTTGCAAAGAACGGTTTTCGCCAAGATGTAAGAAATTTGTGTGTTTCCACAACCGAGTTTCGAGAAAACCTTGCCTAACTTTTGCTACTAAAAGAGATGGTGCCATGGATTCAGATGACTTGGAAGATGAAGAAGACACTGTAAGTTGGATATTTGAATTCCTTCTAGTTTTGTTATTTTTATTCCATAACTTTGTATTTAGTTTCCTAGACCCTACTTTTTGTGGGATTTTACATTTTTACTGGAATAATAGGATATAAAGATTGTTTATTAGCAACTTGGTTTGAGTCAAGTATGTAAGTGGGAGGTCCAATGGTGATTTGTGGGGCGTCTACCACTGGATGTTACTTGGTTAGAGGCAACCCATTTGAGCCGGTTTGAGCCCATTTGTTCACCGTTTCGTCTGCAAATCCAAATTTGAGCTAAGGGAATGTGTTAGAGTATTTGAGTTTTAGTGTAATATATGAACGGGAGTAAAACTGGGATCTTAAGGGCTACTTAGGGGGACATAGACCCAGTTTAACAAAGAGTTAATCCTTCCGTCCTGCTAAGTTTGGGACTGGTGATTGTGACACAAAATTGAGAAAAGGTAATATTGTGTGAATGACATAGAGTTTGTAAAGGGCAAGTGATTTTTGGCTACATTAATATGACTGGGTATGGAAAGTCATAAAGTTGGGATGAACCAAAGTGAAAAAAAATGGGATAAGCATAGTGGGACATTGGGAGTACAACAAGCTATGGACTAGGATAAAAACTTACCAGGTCATATCCAAAAAATCCTAGATCTCCACATGTTCCTATCTTAGGTGATATTCTCAGTAAAAATTGAAGTTGTAAATCCTGCCTAATCACCTTCTTTCAACTCTTCCTAGGTCTTACTCTACCCACTGTCACATCCAGCAGTCCACCACCGCAAGTCTCTCACATTTGTTTGATAGCGAATTTGTTTCCCATTCATGGTATATAGAAAGTAATTGAAGTTATTATTTGTGTGTTACAAAATCATAGATAAAATGTGGTTTACGTAATATGTACTGAAAATTGAAGATGAATTATAACTTTGACATGAGGTTCAGGTAAATAATGATATATTAAGAGCTAACTTCGAAAGAACCATTGGCAATGACGATTCTTTGTTTAGTGGAATTGACCTGGCAACTCTAATACGGAACAAGTTTGGCCGGTCCTATGATGTTCAACTGATTAAGAAGGTATATCAACTTCCCCTTTTTGTCCCTTGTATATATTCAGATGATGAAAGTAACCTTTTCTCATAAATAGATGGAACTTGGCTCATAAATAGATGAGCCAAAATTTCACCTGTTTTTGGCTTTGGGGTGTGATGGAATAAATCAAAATGGATATCTAAACTATTTGCGCTTCTTTAATTAATGAAGTAGCAGTTAGTCAAGCAATGCAACTTTCGACGTTGAGCCGAGGGTCTCTTTGGAAACAGCCTCTCTACTTTCGAGTAGGGGCAAGGTCTGCGTACACACACCCTCCCCAGACCCTACTCTTGTGGGATTTAACTGGGTTGTTGTTGTTGTTGTTGTCTTGTTCTATTGAGAGTTCAATATTGCTGAAAAAAGAGAGGATCCGTGTCTCCCCTTTTGGACTCTGGTCTCTGGATAGAGTAGAGAGAGTGTAAGATGGGAGATATTTTAATACGGAGTACTTGGTTGTTTGGTAAAGGATGAGAGAAGAGGGAAAAGAATGTATAGTAGACGATACTACCCTTATTCTATTCAATGTAATAGAAGAAAAAATTTAACCAATCAATAATAGAGATAGTAAAATATATTTATTTACCAATATCGTTGGCATATGCTTCAATATATGGCATCGTATAAAAATTTATAATCTTTTTCAATAATTCCATTGTACATTATTTTTTGAAACATTTAAGATTTAGTTGCAAATAATATACATATAATTGTAATTGGTATATAATCATGAAAATTCATTTTCAACATAATATGATAATTAGAGAGAATTAGAAAAATGTGTGATGCAACTCAATGGGTTTTGGAGGGGAGGAACAGGGGAGAAAAGGAGGGAAATGTAAAAATAAATTTGCCTCCTTTTTTCTGTACCCACCTAACAAGGGAAGTGAGGAGAAGTCCTTGTCTCTTTTCCACTTTGATTGAACCAAACACTAAGATAATGTTCTTTTTGTAGGAATTCATGGGAAAAAAACTTCTGGCTCTAAATGTGATGTGGAAGTACATGGAAGAGGTGAGATCAGTCATTGATTCAACCATGCAGATAAATTTGTTGTGATGTGTGAATTTTGTAATTATTAGTATGATNATGATTTGGTGTCTCTTCTTAGAGGTCATTTCCACTTACTGAAGAAGAGTATCTGCATAGGCTAGATGATGTAGCAAACACATTGAGGTGTTGGGGAGCTGTCTCACATGTTCGAAATAGCCTCAAAGCTTTGAAAGAGCGGCCCCGAGTTGGCAAGGTAATCTTTAACGTGTTGTCGTCGCCATTCTTAATCTTGCCTTTTTTAATGTATGGTGAGTTCCTATATTATACATCCGGATATATGGTGTTAAATATACATCCGACCAGGCCCGCCCAATGGGGAGTTCAGGGTGTTCTTTTGCACAGGGCCTCCAAGTATAGGGGGCCCATCATTTATATATATCTTATACCGAGGATATCTCAGCCCAATACAGTTTCAAAGTCCAATGCTTTATCCATTTATAGAGTAGTTGGTTTTTTTTTTAAAATTCTTGATTCTTCTTCGCTCTTCAGCGACATCCCGGCTCTTCGATTCCTCCTCCGTAGAATAGGCTCTTCGGTTCCTCCTCCTTTTTCTCCTTCTCCTCCCTCTTTATTATGAGATTTATGGCTTCCTCCCCTCTATAGGTTTGTGTTCCTAATCTTGATAACTCTTTACTTTAGATTTATTTGTTTAAAATTTTTCCAAATTTCATATTCTAATTAATAATAGGCATATGTTTCAATTTTTTTTCCAGATATTTTTGTTTAAGTGTTAAAGAGTATCCTACATCGGAACTTGAAAAGAAAATAAATCGGTATATAAGCCCTTGAGTTGAACTAAGTAATTGATTGGATTCAATCTTTTAATGTGGTTCAACCCAAGTATCTTATTGCCCAATCCAGTTGTCCATACCCATCCTAAATTCTATCATTAAGTTTTTTCTTTCAAATTTTCTGATTTTTTCTTCAATCCTAAAAAACAATTTTGTATCTTTTGTTACTGTACATTTAAAAGTGATTTAGTAAGACTATAGCCTAATTGAAACCTTTGAGTCATCCTCTTTTGAAAAATTGAAATTAATTATATTATGTTTAATGAAATAACTAATATTAGGGAGTACTCATAGTATTTTTGCTTTATCAAAATATCTAGTTTTAACATAAAATTTGGGACTTAAATTATTAAATTGCACAAGGCCTTTCATAGTGATTGGGCGGCCCTGCATCCGACATATGAACATTTACAAGTTAAGCATTACTCATTTCGTACATTTATTTATTTGCATATACGTGTCGAGCAGACGAGCATGTACATTATTGAATTGATGTATGTGCATTTAATAATTGTACAATGTTCTTTTCATTGCTAATATAAATTTTCATTTTATTGCTAATAATACTTCCCATCCATGAAATTTTCATTTTATTGCTTCTTAGAGCATGCACATTATGCATGTTTACGAGTTACATAATGTTCATTTGACAGGAACAACTGCATACTTCTAAACATTTGCATATCAAAATGTATGTGCGATATAATTTGCCATGTTTCGTGGATTTGTGACACAGGCTGTAAGCATTTTTATAGACATGGATGAATCCGGAGGCCGAGCAAGTGAGTGGATATACAAATAGAAACACTTTTCAGGTGCATAATTCTATACTTACATAGAAATTATAATAGAATGATGGATACTGGCATTGATGGAGAATGGGGGTTTGTGATGATATTATTCTTATGGTAATATTTTGCATACCTCTTTGGACCCTAATTCACATCCACATTGTGTCACATTAGGAAGTCCTAGCAAATAAAGTAAATCTCTCTCATATTTATTTTGGCCCCAAAAAAATATTTTTTTATGAATTCACAAGTAAAAAGTAAAAAAAAGTAAATTAAGAAACTGTCCTTTGTAATTGAGTTTTTATATAATCAAAGTTATCTAACAACATTTTGTAAAAAAAACAAGAAGTAATAATTTAATGTTATTTTCTCAAAATAAGATATAAATAAAATGTAAAAAGAAACAATATATAAGTCAACATTAACTAAGCTAACAACATTTTAAAAGCATTCCATCACAAATGTAAAAAAATAAATAATATACAAACATGACATAATAATAATAATAATAATAATAATAATAATAATAATAATAATAATAATAATAATATACTAATTCCCGACAAAAAATAGTTATTTTAAAAATAAGTGATTTTTTTAAAATACTGTAATAATCTAAATATCACCCGAAATATAATACTGCGTAATTATTACTTCAATGAAAATGTAAATAAAGATACTATTATATAACTACTTTAAAATGTGAACACAAAAATATCAATGTGATTATACGTGAGTGAACAACTTCAAAACATTGTTTTCCTTAAAAGAGTGAATATTTTTTATGTGACGGAGGGGGGTATATGTTTGAATTTAAAATCGTTCTATTTATTTGCATTTTGTTCTGTGTTTATGAGACTATTTGTTTGAATCTACTCCTCGTGTTGCTACTTAATTGGATACAATTTCCTCATGTTATTTTAGGTTTGGATTCCTGGATCCGTGGAATCAACCTCTTTCAAACAAGTCGGGTCAAGGACGGTTCCAATGTTAAATTATCAATAGTCTGTTTTGACACGTCCTGTATCTATAAAAACAAACCCGGCCCGGGTTTCTAAAAATTGACCCAAACCGATTGGTGCGCACCACTACATATTAGTAAAAATATAATTTTATTAAATTAATCTTACAAATAGTTTGAAGAAAATATTTTATTGTATTCATGTGTGATGTAATTTTTATTTAGTCGTTAACCAAAATTTGTTTAATTTGATTGAAGAATTCAGACATTGCGAACACATTAAGGGCCTGTTTGGTGAAACTTGGAGATATGATAAGATATAAGTTATGAAATCAAGAAGAATTGATATGAGTTTTGAAATCTAAAACGAATTTGTTTGAAGATATTTAAAATCATGATTTAATTAGTGATAAACGGGGATAACCGGCAATGTAAGTGGTTGGCGGTGACAATAGTAGTCGGAGACGAGAAATGATCAACGGTTGAGAAAGATATCGAACTCTCGTATTGATATCTCCCAAATTCGGGAGATATTGAAACCCTATCCCTTCATTTTGAAGATTTATGATATCAGGAGATATCGAATTCGATATCTCTTTTGACTTCACCAAAACCAGATTAGGGTTTTGACATCTGGAGATATCAAAATGCATATATTGTTTGCTCACCTAACACATCCTAAATTTGATGGAGTAATAATTGAGTAAAAGTCTCGTTTGGTATCAGCGTTAGATATTAGTGTTAATATTTTGAAAAGGCTATCTGATGACAGTCTTTAGCGTTAGCGTTTTCAGAATTAATCTACACCATTAAAATTTTATCCAAAATACTAACACTAATCAAAAAAGTTTTTCCCAAACAAGGCCAAATATAATCTTTGAGACATGTAAACATCTCCGTCGTACATAACAAAAAAACTCAACACATTTCAATTTATTTCAAAATAAATTACTCGGTAACTATTTCTCTCATTATCATTTTAGGAAAAAATATGTACCTTGTATGCCTTTTATTTCATAAACAAATCCGTTTTGAAATGAAAAGTTTATTACTAGCTCTGTTTCATAAAAATTTTCTAACTTTAACTTTCATAAAATTTAAGAAAAGTATTAAAACATACTCGTATAGAGTACATTATATGATGGAAATTTATATGTATAGAGTTATTTTTTGAACCACATGTTCACTCTTTTAAAAGGAATAAAGTAAATATAAATTTTTTATAATGTCTAAAAAAGAATTTGGGAGGAATATCTAGGACTAAAATATGTTTCATATACCAAAATATTATCTTTAATGTTTCTATATAAAAATAAATCTTATAGTGTCATTTAATGTTGAAAAATACTGAAGTACTCCGTATGATATGCAAATAACCAAAATATTATCCTCAATGTTATATACTAAAATAAATTTTATAATGTTAAATAATGTCAAAAATATTACTCCTTTCGTTTTTGAGTATCTGTCTACTTTTAAATTTTTTGGTCAAAAATGAAAAACTTTGACCATGAATTGAATAAAAATGATATTAGATATTAATTCAAAAATAGTTTTATTAGATTTATCTTCTAAAATATTATCAAAATATTATTTTATCTAATTAATATATGATATATATATATATTGTTAATTACATGTCAAGAATTGAAAATGATTGGCTGTAAGAACTCAAAACAAGCCAAATACTTAGATAATGCAATAAGAGTTCCATATTTTTTATTGTCGAAATTTGATTTTGCACTGTGATAATGCAATATTTTATATGGACATATTTCATAATACTTTTGACAATATATATGGTCATGATTGACATTGTATATTTATTTTTACTCATATTTTAAGAATAAATATGAAATTATTGTTTTGATATATTTGTAATGTTTTATTTATACTTTAGTATTTTTCCTATTTTTATAATATAGTATAAAAATATAAAAAATTTTATTTTGATACAAGTTTTATGTTTTAATCGTTTTTTAATTAGTTAATTTCTTAAATAAGATATTGGGAGTATTTTGGTCATGCTAGGTTGCAGCTTTGAAGAAATTCGAGATATCAATAATATATAAAAATGCAAGTGGCAAGTCCACCCATGTCATGAGTCAGCACTCAGCCGAATTGTGTTTTAGATGGATTAGCAAAAGATGTCTTTCAAACAGAATAATATTTGGATTAACTTCAACTCATCTCTAAATGAAGTTAAAATGACTTATCACAATGATAAAAGTGGTTTACTAAACAATCAGAAAATATTAAAAATTAGTTAGTAGCGTCTATCTAGACTCTTGCCTTATAAGGCCACATAAAAAATATACCTCAAACATAGATCGTAGTTTCTCTACCATAATTCTACGTGTGAATAAGAAGATTGAAAAATCGATAAGAAATGTATGGATAGAAGACTGATAATCTAATAATGTATAAACAATATACATAATATTGCTCTTGAATAGAGAGGGTAGGACTATGAGACAAGATCCACGTTTGTTGTACTCTATTTTTTTCAAAAATTTTATCTCACTTTGAATAACATACAAAAGTTTATTTCATTTTAAATTATTTTACATAAAAAATCTCGCAAAACAAAATGTAAAATTATTTTTTAAAATCACATCAAAATTTTAAGATAGATATTTTAAATAGCATCAAAAGTTTTACTTATAAAACAAGACCTAATAATAATATTTTATTTTATCTAATAATCAATTAAAACATACACAAATAAAGAAAAATAATTAGAAAACTAGAATAACAACTGAGACAATATTTTTAAGACGATGAGTAAATGATATGGTGAACTTAAATTCACATAACACTATTTTTTTTATGAATCTATAGGAGCATGTACAACGGCAAGGAAGAAGAATGCTTTGTATTGCCACATCAATTCCTTCCTCTCATATCATGACATGACAAGAACAAAATGCCTTGTTTGGTGAGTCATGTGTGACACTCCACACTTCTTTTTTTCTTTTTTCAATTTCTTTTTATTTTTTTTTATAAAAAAATGTATAAGAAAGTAGAATAGTTTTTTGATAAAAGATATAATAAAAATATTTTTTATGTTTAAAAGCATAAAAAATGTAAAAAGTGATAAAATAATGACTTGTCATTGTAGAGTTTATCACTATAATCACTTATCCACGGTGATTAAATTATTTTTAATTGATTAAAATGTTTCAAATCACCGTAGAATATTCCATTTTTGTTTCGGCATTATTAATGTTATTATTAATGTTGTAAGTGACATACAAATGGTTATTACAATGATGAAAAAAAACTTTATTCCCCACGTTTCCTTCACTCGAGCCCAGCAAAGTCGGCTCTCAACAAAAACAAAACCCACAATTCAAACATCAAAGCTGCTGCCGACCTTCAATACGCTGTGCAGAGAAGATATTTCTGAGGTATTCTCCTCTTCTTCTTCTTCGTTGAAATAATACTGTGATTGAGTTTAGGGTCTGCGAAATTCGAAACCACTTTGGTGACTATAAAGTTGCTTATCAGCCCTCCAACATCTTGTTTAACAAGAACATTACTCTTGTCTCATGCAGTGAATTCTGTATCAGAACACTAACTTTCAGATGTTTTTGATTTGCAGCGTGAATTGCAGGGGAAGAATTGCTTTTAACAATTCATGGGGGCGATTGATTTTTGCCAGAATCCATCAATCTGCATTTCAAAGTTCAGGCCCAATTCTCGAACTGAAACGCATTGGAAGAGAAGGGTTTCGGTTGTGGCATCTTCTTCTGTGCCTATCAAGGAGAAGAGTCAGTCTGGAGAAGTTGCCCGCGGGGCATCATTCATCCGCCCCCATCTCCAGAATCTCAAACCCTATCAGCCCATTTTACCCTTTGAGGTGATTCATGATGTCTCTTTTCCCATTTTACTATTACATGTGATTTAATTCATCTCCTTCCTCGGTTAATTTTGACATTGCTAAGTTTTCAGTTAATACTATGTTCAGGAAAATACAGTTCTAGGATTGCATTATTACAATGTTTCGATAATAGAGTTAACATCTAAGAGCTCTGATCATCTCATTTTCCCCCCATTCAAATCTGTTTCAATACAAATATAGTTCTATGATATGGGTATGGGCAGTCAATTGATGGATACATACACTATTTCTTTGTTATTTCCCTTCTCAAAAGTATTTTTTAATTATTAAGTACAGGTGTTATCAGCTCGACTTGGCAGGAAGCCTGAAGACATTGTAAAATTAGATGCCAATGAAAACCCTTATGGTCCACCGCCAGATGTAATTACTATGTTGAGTTCATATGACTAAAACAAATAAAGTTCTCATAATTTTCGTTTTCGGTTGGTGAAAGCATATAAACTCCTTTGTAGGTTTTAGAAGCTCTGGGATCGGTAGAATTTCCCTATATTTATCCTGACCCTGAAAGTCGTAAGTTGCGAGCTGCACTTTCTGAGGACTCTGGACTTGAGTCTGAGTATATTCTTGCTGGGTGTGGTGCAGATGAACTCATTGATTTGATAATGCGGTCAGTAAAAAGAGATTCATAATTTTAAGGAGAAAAACTAGAAAAACTGTTTCTAAAATACCTTATTGCTGTTGTTCTTTTGAAAAATGATTTCTACATCGTACAGGTGTGTATTGGATCCTGGCGATAAAATTGTTGACTGCCCACCAACCTTTACTATGTATGAATTTGATGCAGCTGTTAATGGTGCGCATGTTATCAAGGGTAGGTATATGGCTTTTTTCACCTTCGATTTAATATTGATTCTGAAACTTTAATGTGTTGTCTAGTTTAATGATCAATTGATCACACTCCATGTTACTGAAATTCACATTAAGAAATATGCTACACTTGCTAAATAAGCTGCGCTTACATTGCATATCAACAAGTTAATAATATACTGTCCCATTCAAGATAAATGTCATTTAGGAGGGACGTTATTGGTTCACAATTTGTGTTGTTTCGCGAAACCAAGGCAGTATATAGTGTCCTATTATATATTTTGTCTCTTTAAGACCCGCATAAAATTAATTTTCAATTATATTACTCCCTATGTCCCATAATACTGGTCCCGTTCACTATTCCCTGGGTACCATATCTTATTTCCTTAACATATTTTTATTAAGCATTTAATATAATAACATAGCCAAGCCACCTCTTATTTTATAGTCTCTCTGTCCCATAATTAAATCCCGGAGGGAATTACAAAGCAAAAAGTATTTTTTTAGAATTATTTATATTTGAGAAATTTTCATTCCCCTATGGAGCCAAAGATTCACTATTTTTTTTGGCTTTGGGGTATGATGGAATAAAACAAATTGGCTCTTTAAACTATCTCCACTTCTTGCAATTGTGAAGTAGCAATTAGACAATGCAACTTTTGACGCTCATCATGGGTCATCTAGAAATAGCCGCTCTATGTTTTAAACATAGGGGTCAGACTGCGTACATCCGACCCCGCCTTACCCCGCAATGGGCAGGAGCCATCGAGGCACTGGGTAATGTTGTCGTCATATTTATATTTGAAAATTGGTATAAAATTACAAAATGAAATTTACATATTTTATAAATACATCAAAAGCTCTATAAAACAAGTGGTGATCTGGGTATTTTTATTTTATCAAATGATCTATGAAAGCTCATAAGCAAACAAAAGTTATCGGAAACCTAAAATAGTAACTTGGGTTTTGATTCTGGGACAGAGGGAGTATAGTTCTTGATGTAGTTTTTAAATATGTAGTATATGATTTTTATCTTGAATTTCTCACCACTATTTAAATAAATTGAATATAAATTAACTTTAGAGAAGTATCATAATTCATAAATCAAAATGAGACCAGTATTATGGCACAGAGGGAGTAGATGATAGTCAGGTGTGCATAAATCTTGTCCCAACAACTATAAATCTACTTGGTTTATTCCAAAATGACACCTTTTGTGAATCAGATGGCGTATTTTTTTGTATCAGACTACTTATTTGTAGTGTTTTGTAAATCTAAAATAAAACTAAGGGAGTCCTTAATGTAATTCTTGCAGTACCTCGGCACACAGACTTTAGCCTGGATGTGGAAAGGATTGCTGAAGTTGTTGAGAAGGAAAAGCCTAAATGCATATTTCTAACGTCTCCCAATAACCCAGATGGAAGGTAAAGCTGTGCTGTTTCTATCACATTCATTTTTTATTTGTTGCTTTCATTACTACAAACAGGATCATTTTCATTGGCACCACTAGGGCAGTGAAGTGCATTTTCAACTATTTTGATGATACACACACACACACACACACACACACTTTGTGCTAGTCTGTTTGCCAGGTGTCCCCAATAAACATTATGTTTATATGTATTTTCTAGAAGTATGTGTTTAAAAGACATATTACAAGAGGTGATATTGGAATGTCATAGTCTTAACTTTTAAGAACTCGAGAAAATTGACTACTTTCATTGGTTTGTGTTTACCTTCGTACAAGGTCCCGAGGGAGTATCAATTTATAAGCCGTTGTTTTTCTATTTCAGGCCTGGAATGTTTTTTTCTTCTAGTTTATAATTAAATCATACTCCGTATTGAATATTCTCTGTGGGGCTGTGGTTTAATGGAAAGAATTAATTTACATCTTCTTAATGAGACTTGTTGAGTATCCCACAATGGTTGTCTACTGCTTTGAGTTTTTTATACTCTGTATGTGTGATGTACATTTCAGATGAGTATTCTTTTATGGTTAGTGGCTCATTTTAACATGGTATCAGATCTCAAAGCCTAGTTCAATACTAGTTTGTGAGGTGTCCACCAACTTTATGGTTTGGAGCAGCCATTTCAACGGCTGGTTTGGTCCTCTTTGTCCACTCTTTTAGTAGTCCAGCCTGGCTTGGTTAGGGGAGGATGTGTTGAGAATCCTGTACTCATAGTTATGAAAGGCGAGTGGCGGGCGAGAGGACCTTTTTTGTGGCGAGTGGCGTGGCGAGTGGCGGCCGGTCAAATGGCGAACAAAAAAAAGCGAGTATGTATACACACACACACACAACATATATGTGTGTGTGTATATATATATATATATGTATATATATATATGTATATATGTATGTATATAACTATATATAGACACACACATACAAATTGTGCATGGCATATCATAAAGTTTAAAACAATATATAAATCTCAAAGGAATACAAAAACAATAAGTAGCTAAGCTAAGTTGGAAGAATAAAACATAAATTATTTTTCCATATTTATCACACGGAGTATATAATAGAGACACAAATTAAAAAATATAATGCACAAATTTAAAATTGAAGAATAATACAAAAATTGAAAATATAATACAAAAATTTAAAATAAAAGTATAAAACACAAATTAAAAAAAACTATATAAGAATTAAAAACTGACCTACTTGACTGCCGACACCACTTGGAGGAAATCGACTGAGAAATATCCGCTGGAAGCTGCGACCTGCTGCTGCGATACAAGACTGGGAGCAGATTCGCAGCTGAATCGAGTGGAAGAGACGATCGGGTCATAACTGGAAGCCTGGAACGACGATTGGATTACGGGAAGAGGTAATTGCGGGTCTTTAATTAGAAACGGGCTCAAGCCCAATTTAATTGCTCCCTTGGATGAAGTCTGGACTGAAAAAATTGACCCACAACTTAATTGCGTCAACTGCGAACGCCATACGCCATAATTAGCATCGAAAATGGCGACCGCCATTCCTCGCCTCAAGGACAACGCCATGCACAGCCCAATCCAGGCGCCATCCCCTCGCCACAGCGCCATAAACGCCATAGGCGATCAAGGCGCTCGCCTTTCATAACTATGCCTGTACTCCACTCTGGTTGTCTTACGTTGAGTAAATATAACCTAACCTCTTGAGGATATTTCAAACTGAGTGAATCCAATCTAACAAGACTCGTCCCATATATTGGATATATTTATGTTCTTCCTTTTCATGTCTCTTTTTCCTCTACTGCTCTACCAGTATTTCTTTTGACCTTGTGCTTGTTTTTTGTATGACATTTTTTTCAGCCTTCAGCTTTCATTGTAATG